CGACCAGCCCCGTCGCGACCGGAACCGTCGCGACCAGCCCCGTCGTGACCCCCCTCGTCGCGACCGGCCCCGTCGGGACCGTCGCCGTCGCGACCCCCCCCTCGGCAACCCTCCCGTCGCGCCCAGCCCCGTCGCGACCCCCCGTCGCGACCGGCCCCGTCGCGACCCTCCCCGTCGCGACTGGCCCCGTCGCGACAGGGCCCCGTCGCGAGCCATCCATGTCGCGACCCCCCCTGTCACGGCCCCCCGTCGCCACCCCCTCCGTCGCGACCGGCCGCGTCGCGACCCCCCCGTCGCGGCCAGCCCCGTCGCGACCGGCCCCGTGGCGACAGGGCCCCTTCGAGACTCCCCCCGTCGCAAACCCCCCGTCGCGACCAGCTCCGTCGCGACCAGCCCCGTCGCGGCCCCCCGTCGCCACCCCCCCCGTCGCGACTGGCCCCGTCGCGACAGGCCCTGTCGCGCGATCCCCCCCGTCGCTGCCAGCCCCGTCGCGACCCCCCCCGTCGCGACAGGGCCCCGTCGAGACTCCTCCCGTCGCGACCAGCCCTGTCGCGACCCCCCCCGTCGCGAGCGGCCACGTCGCGACCGGCCCCGTCGCGATTAGCCCCGTCGCGACCCTCCCTTCGCGACCAGCTCCGTCGCGACCCCCCTCGTCGCGCCCGACCCCGTTGGGACCGGCGCCATCGCGACCCCCCGTCGCGGCCAGCTCCGTCGCGACGGGCCCCGTCGCGACAGGGCCCCGTCGAGACTCCCCCCGTCGCGACCAGCCCCGTCGCGACCAGCCCCGTCGTGACTAGCCCCGTCGCGACTGGCCCCGTCGCGACTGGCCCCGTCGCGACTGGCCCCGTCGCGAACTCCCTGTGCGACAGGCCCCGTCGCGACCCCCCCCGTCGCGCCCAGCCCCGTTGGGACCGGCGCCGTCGCGACCACCCCCATCGCGGCGGGCCCCGTCGCAACCCCGCTCCGTCGAGACTCCCCCCGTCGCGACCCCCCCCGGTCGCGACCGACCCCGTCGCAACCGACCCCGTCGCGGCCCCGTCGAGACTTCCCCCGTCGCGACCAGCCCCGTCGCGACCGGCCCCGTCGCGACCGGCCCCGTCGCGACTGGCCCCGTCGCGAGTGGCCCCGTCGCGACCGCCCCTTCGTGACTGGCCCCGTCGCGACCCCCCCGTCGCGCCCAGCCCCGTTGGCGCCGTCGCGAACCCCCCGGGGCCCGTCGCGGCCAGCCCCGTCGCGACCCCCCCCCATCGTGGCACCGTCGAGACTCCCCCCGTCGCGACCAGCCCCGTCGCGACCCCCTTTGGCGGGGGAGGGGAGCGGGAAGGGGGGTCCGCGGCGGACCGCGAGAGGGCGGGCCCCTTTCCTGGCCCCCCCAGGTTCCCACGGGAGCCACCCTGCTAGCAGTGCCCAGGTTACCGCGGGGCCGCCGCCAGGGTGCCCGGTTTCCCGCAGGAACCACGTCTCCAGCGGTCCACTGGGCCCCCCCCGTCGCGACACCCCCCGTCGCGACCCCTCCCGTGGGCCCGTCGGGGCGCCCTAGGGGCAACCTGGGAGACCCCTCCCTGTCGTCGTCGTCGGCGGCGGCGGCGGCCCTCAGGAGAGGGAAGCGGGGGCAACAATTTCCAGACGGATCCAGACATGGCCAGGAAAGCCCACAGCGTCAACAAAAGGCACCCGAACCCCCGAGGGCCGACCCTCGCGGGGCCGCGGCCCTGCTCCTCGTTCCTTCCTCCTTGCTTCTCCCCCCTCCTCTTCCTCTTATTAGGATGATGATTATTAGTATTATTATTACTATTATTACTACTACTAGTAGTATTATTAGTAGTAGTATTACTATTAGTATTATTATTAGTATGTTTATTCGTATTAGTATTATTCGCTGTCTTCTTCTTAATATTATTCTTTTTATTATTAATGATATTCTTATTATTATTAGTATTCTTATTATTTTTATTACTACTACTATTAGTATTATTCTTATTAATTTTGATATTATTCTTATTCCTACTATTATTACTAATATTATTATTACTGTTATTAATATTGTTATTATTATTAGTAGTATTATTATTATTAATATTATTATTATTAGTATTATTAGTATTATTAATATTAGTATTATTATTCTTCTTATTATTACTCTTATTATTATTATTCTTATTACTATTATCCTTCTTCTTCTTCCTATGATTATTCCTCCTCTTCCTTTTTGTTCAAAATGGGCCGTCGCTTACGCAAACGGGGCGCCCAACATCGCTAGTCGCACCGAACCGGACCAGTCGGACCGACCCGAACCAGACCGTCAATCGAGCCGAACCGAACCGGTGGGACCGAACCGAGGGTGGGACCGAACCGAACCGGTGGGACCGAACCGAACCGAACAAGAGCCAGACCCAAACCGAACCGACCGAAACCGAACTGGTGTCAAACCGAACTGGCCAAGCAAAACCGAACTGGCTGCAGTACGGGGCCGAACCGAATCGAATCGATTTGTTCGCGTCATCACCATCATCATCATCATCATCATCATCATCATCATCATCATCATCATCATCATCATCATCATCATCACCGCCATCATGATCATCGTCACCATCATCACCATCATCATCATCATCAGCATCATCATCATCATCATCATCATCATCAGAATCAACATCATCATCATCATCATCATCATCATCATCAGCAGCAGCATCAGCAGCAGCAGCAGCAGCAGCATCCATCATCATCATCATCATCACCACCATCATCATCACCACCACCGCCATCACCACCACCAACAACAACAACAGCATAACAACCATAATTTCAAGACTGTTCGCTCTTATCTGCTCGCGCGTACCTCACCACGTATATCCGAGACCCCCGACACCCGCCCTCTTCGTCGTCGATCGTACCCCCTCTGGGGCTTACATCTTCCTTACCTGCCACGTGTATTGGGCGCAGTCCCTAAAAGAGCAAAAGGAGTGGGAAATGAAAGAGAGAGAGAGAGAGAGAGAAAGAGAGAGCGACAGAAAGAGAGAGGGAGAGGGAGGAAAGGAGTGGGGGAAGGGAGGGAGGCAAGGGACAAGAGGGAGGGAGCAGAACTGCGGAGGAGGGAGATTAGAAGGTGGGGGGCTTAAGAGAGGAGCCGGAAAACAAGCGGCAGACCCGGACGGTTGGGTCAGGCAACGGTCCCCAACGGGCGGGTCGGGCGGGCGGGGCCTGCGGACCCGCGGGCGGACCCTAACAGGCGGGTCGGGCGTGCGGGACGAGAAACACCCGGCGAGCTTCCAAACGAGCCGCCGGGCCTGCCGTCACAGGCAAGTCAGGCGGGCGGCCCTAACGGGCGAGTTCAGCGGGCGGATCAAAGCGTGAGTCCTAAATGACTTCTGGGGAAGTCTCAGGCGAGAGCGTGCGGGTATCTCTTCATTACTTGGCACGTGTAGTTGGCGTGGCGCAGCCCCTTAAGCAGGGAAAGAGGGGAGACCGTATATATGGGCCACAAAGGGCAGCGAAGGGCCACTGAGGGCAGCATCGGGGCCACGAAGGGCAGCGACTGGGCCACAAGGGGAGGGGCCACGAAGAGCAGCTATGAGGCACAAAGGGCGCGAGCGAGCATGGGGCACGAAGGGCATAACCCTGACGGGCGGGCCGAGCGGGCGGATCGATCGTGATTTCTGCGTGATTAGCCAGGAAGTTTCCAGCGAGAGAGTGATTCCTAAGAAAATTTGACGAAGTCCTAAGCGAACGCGCGATTCCTGAATGGCAAGAGCGCGCAGCCTGAGTAACTTGCGAGGAAGTCTCAAGCGGGAGCGCGATTCTTGAGTAAATTGCAAGGAAATCTCAAGCAGGAGCGGGGGACCGGAGTAAATTTCGAGGAAGTATGAAGCGGGAGCCGTTGTTGTCGCAAACCAGGAGCCAGGGGCACAGCTTGAGCCTGAAGAGATCCCCTTATAAAAAACAGGATGCGAGCGGCGGGAGGGGCACTTCAATTCAAAAAATACTATGTGCACCGGAGGGGGGATCAACAATAACTAATATTCAGTAATAAGGAGTTCAACAACAACCACAAAAACAAAAGCAAAAACAACAATAGCAAGAACACTAACAAGAACAAGAACAACAACAACAACAACAACAACAACAACATCAACAACAACAACAAAAACAACAGCATCATCATCAACACCACCGCCATCATCATCATCATCATCATCATCATCAGCATCATCATCATCATTATCATCATCATCATCATCATCATCATCATCATCATCATCATCATCATCATCATCATCATCTACTACTACTACTACTACTACTACTACTACTGCTACCACTACTATTACCACTACTACTACCACTACTACTACTACTACTACTACTACTACTACTACTACTACTACTACTACTACTACTACGGCTAATACTACTACGACTACGACTACTACTACTACTACTACTACTACTACTACTACTACGACTACGACTACTACTACTACTACTACTACTACTACTACTACTACTACTACTACTACTACTACTACTACTACTACTACTACTAACTACTACTACTACTACTACTACTACTACTACTACTACTACTACTACTACTACTACTACTACTACTAACTACTACTACTACTACTACTACTACTACTACTACTACTACTACCACAATAGCAACTGCATCATCATCCTCATCATCAGAATCATCGTCATCGTCATCATCAGCAGCATCAGCAGCAGCAGCATCAGCATCAGCATCAGCAGCAGCATCAGCATCTTCCTTATCCTGATCATCACCATCAGCAGCATCATCAGCATCATCATCAGCATCATCATTATCATCATCATGATCATTCTCAGAATCCCTGCCCCTCCTCACCCCTCCTGCCTGCTTTCTTCCTCCTCCTCCTCCTCCTCCTCCTCCTCCTCCTCGTCTGGAGCCCATCCCTAGAGGTCACAGGAAGAGTCGGCCGCGCTGTGGGCGCACGTCGCGCGCGCGGGCGCGCCAGCTTGCCCAGCCGGAAGGCCGCGCGGAACCAGATGCCCGGGTGGACCACCTGCGCCCCGCAGACCGGAGATCGGAGGAGGGGCGGAAGGGAAGAATGCGGAGAGGGGGGAGGGAGCATGGATGGGGGGAGGGAGGAGGTACGAAAGAAGCAGCAAAGATGGAGCAGGGAAGGAAGAGGGAGGATGGAGGGAAGACGGAAAAGGGAGGAGGATATGAGGACCACAGAGAGAAGGGCAGGACGACGAGGGGGAGGAGGAAGGGCACGACCGACACGAAGCACACGAAAAGCTACAACCCACGGCGCAATGTGATGTTGCATATGCTCAAGTTCAGCTGTGAGCGCCAATGATGTGCCCATGTGTATATACATATGTGTATACATCTACATATATATATATATATGTAAACATGAATATGCTTATAACTATATACGAATATAGATATATGTATGTGCGGTTGTGTGCCCCTGTCTATGTATGTATGTATGTATAGTAACACAAGCATGGTCTCATGATCATCATCATCATCATCATCATCATCATCATCAGCAGCAGCAGCAGCAGCAGCATCATTATCATCAGCATCATCACCATCATCATCATCCTTATCATCATCATCCTCATCATCATCATCCTCATCATCAGCATCAGCATCAGCATCAGCATCAGCATCATCATCAGCATCATAATCATCGTGTTCCTCCTTGTCATAATCCTCCTCGTACTCCTCCTCTTCCCTATACACTTCCCAATATCACCATGTTGCCTCTTCTCCGATGCCAGAGATCGAACTAGACATGATCTTACTCTCTTCTTGAAGCAGACAAAACATCAGCATATGCCACATACTGGAGCTGAAAAGCCAGGAGGGAGGAGGGAAAGGAAGAAGAGAGGAGAAAGGAGGGAAGAGCGAGATGGAGGAGGGAGGAGGGCAGAGCGATGAGGGAGCTACAAGGAGGAGGAGGAGGAGGAGGAGGAGGAGGAGGAGGAGGAGGCGGAGGAGGAGGAGGAGGAGGAGGAGGAGGAGGGAGAGAGCAGGCAGGTGAGAAGAGGAAGCAGGGAGGAGGGACCAGGGACCCGGGAGGTAGGAGACGCAGGGAGGAGGGAGCATCGACCCTGGCCAGGCCCATCCTGGGCCCAGAATCCATGCACACGCCCTCCCGGCTCGGCCAGGGAGGCACACGCACCGATCTTGGGCCCAGGATGGGCCTGGCCAGGACGTGCGCATGCACGTCTCTCCTCGCCGGAGACAGGGGGGGCCTCTCCTGGGGCCCCGCGCGCGCTGGGGACGCCGTGCCGCTGGGGACCTCCCGCCGTGCCTGGGCAAAGCAGGCCCCCCATAGGGGGGAGGAGGGGGGGCACGCGGCACACGCGCCACGCCCGTGGTAGTGGTTCGCAATGATGGGCATGTGTTCCACCACCACCACCATAGGTTGGAGGGGGGGAGGAGGTGGAGGATGAGGAGGAGAAAAAAGAAGAGGAGGACCCCCTCCCCTCCTACTTATGGTGGTGGTGGTGGAAAACTTGCCAGTCACGCGAGGATCTGCTCGGGCGACGCGTGGCCACGAGAGCGTCGGGCGGACTCTCGCGGGCGGGCCGTGCAGACCCCGGCGAGGGCAGCGGACACTAGCGGGCGGTCGGGTCGGGCGGACTCCAGCGGGCGGGCCTGGTCGGGCGGGACATTAAAGTATGATGCATAGTCGAGCTGGCACGCGAGAGCTCTAAGGGGCGAGTCGGGTCGGGCGGGCGGGAAGGACATAAGCACCTTCGCCGAAGTCCCGAGCCCCCATGGAGATACTCGAAACGAAAGGCACTCAAGTGTGCAAGGCCCAAGCGCGAAGAACAGAAGGGCACCGCCCCAGAGCTAGGGTTGCTCTTAACCCTCGAGCCAGCTGTACTCGGGGAGTTCCCTCTGCAGCGGAAGCAATCCGCAATCCCAGCGCCGCCCCGCAGAGCAAGGCCCCCAAGGTCGACTCCAGCGCGCGACGCCCTGGGGTGCCGAGTCGAGGCAGCGCGCAGAGCGATGCCGAAACGCAGTGCTGCTGCCCAGGCCACGGCCGCAGGCGACGTGCACCTCCCGAGCCGCGCGCGGCCTGACCAGGGCGCCGCCGTCAAGGTGCACTGCAGGAACAACCGATCGCAGGCTAGAAGCTAGAAGAGGTAAAAGAGGAGTCCTCCTCCTCCTCCTCCTCCTCCTCCTCCGCCTCCTCCTCCGCCTCCGCCTCCGCCTCCGCCTCCGCCTCCTCCTCCTCCCCTCCTCCTCCTCTCCTCTCCTCCTCCGCCTCCGCCTCCGCCCGCCTCCGCCTCCGCTCCGCCGCCTCCTCCCCGCCCCCTCCCCCCCCTCCTCTCCCCTCCTCCTCCTCCTCCTCCCTCCTCCTCCTCCTCTCCTCCATCTCATCATCATCTCAGCATCATCATCATCATCATCATCATCATCATCATAATCAGCATGAGCATCATCATCATCATCACATCACCATCACATCATATCCATCATCATCATCAGCAGCATCAGCATCAGCATCACAGCATCATCATCATCATCAGCATCAGCACATCATCATCATCAGCATCATCAGCATCATCAGCATCATCATCACAGCAGCAAGCATCATCAGTATCAGCATCATCAGCATCATCATCATCATCATCATCATCAGCATCATCATCATCATCATCAGCATCATCATCGTCATCTTCATCAGCAGCATCATCCTCAGCATCATCATCATCATCGTCATCATCGTCAGCATCGTCATCATCATCATCATCGGCCTCATCATCATAATCAGCAGCATCATCAGCAGCATCATCATCATCATCATCAGCATCAGCATCATCATCATCAGCAGCATCATCATCATCAGCATCAGCAGCATCATATTCATCACCATCAGCATCATCAGCAGCAGCATCAGAAGCATCATCAGCAGCAGCATCATCATCCTCATCATCATCATCATAAGCAGCAGCATCATCATCAGCAGCAGCAACAGCATCATCATCATCATCATCATCATCATCATCATCATCAGCATCATCATCATCATCATCATCAGCATCAGCATCATCATCAGCATCATCAGCATCATCAGCATCATCAGCGTCATCAGCAACATCACCATCATCGACATCGTCAGCACCATCATCATCATCCTCATCATCATCAGCATCATCAGCATCATCATCATCATCATCATCATCATAATCAGCAGCATCATCATCCGCATCGTCATCATCATCATCATCAGCATCATCATCGTCATCATCATCATCAGCAACATCGTCATCGTCATCAGAATCAGCATCATCACCATCATCCTCAACATCATCCTCATTCTCATCCTCATCAGCAGCATCATCATCAGCAGCATCATCATTACCATCAGCAGCATCATCATCAGCATCGGCATCAGCATCAGCATCGGCATCAGCATCAGCATCCGCATCATCATCATCAGCATCATCAGCATCAGCACCATCATTATCATCACCATCTCATCATCACCATCATCAGCATCATCATCATCATCATCATCATCATCATCAGCATCGGCATGAGCATCAGCATCAGCAGCAGCATCCTCAGCATCAGCATCATCAACATCATCATCAGCAGCAGCAACAGCAGCATCATCATCATCATCGGCATCATAGCAGCATCGGCATCATCAGCATCAGCAGCATCAGCATCATCAGTATCAGTAGCATCATCAGCAGCAGCATCACCCTCATCATTTTCATCATCATCATCATCATTAGCAGCAGCAGCAGCATCAGCATCACCAGCAGCAGCAACAGCAGCAGCGTCATCAGCATCAGCAGCATCACCGCCATCATCAGCAGCATCAGCATCAGCATCAGCATCAGCATCAGCATCAGTATCATAATCATCAGCATCATCATCATCATCATCATCATCATCATCATCATCATCATCATCATCATCATCATCATCATCATCATCATCGTCATCATCGTCGTCATCGTCGTCAGCATCCTCATCCTCCTCCTGCTGTTCCTGCTCTTCTTCTTACTATTCTTCCTCCTCCTCCTCCTCACCCAGTCCTCCTCCTCCTCCTCCTCCTCCTCATCCTCCTCCTCCTCATCCTCCTCCTCCTCCGCCTCCGCCTCCGCCTCCGCCTCCTCCTCCGCTTCCTCCTTCTCGTCCTCCTGGGCCTCCTCCTCCTCCTCCTCCTCCTCCTCCTCCTCCTCCTCCTCCTCCTCCTCATCCTCCGTCTCATGCTCGTCCTCCTCCTCCTCTTCCTCCTCCGCTTCCTCCTTCTCCTCATCATCATTGTCATAATTGTCATCATTGTCATCATCAGCAGCAGCAGCATCATCATTAGCAGCAGCATCATCATCATCATCATCATCATCATCATCATCATCATCATCATCATCATCATCATCATCATCATCAGCATCATCATCATCATCATCAACAGTATCATCATCATCCTCATCATCATCATCAGCATCATCATCATCGTAATCAGCATCAGCAGCATCATCATCAGCAACAGCAGCATCATACTCAGCATCAGCATCAACATCATCAGCAGCAGCATCAGCATCAGCAGCAGCAGCATCCGCATCAGCATCAGCATCAGCATCAGCATCCGCATCATCATCATCATCAGCATCATCAGCATCAGCACCATCATCAATATCATCATCATCATCATCAGCAGCAGCAGCAGCAGCATCAGCATCATCAATATCATCATCATCATCATCATCATCATCATCATCATCAGCATCATCATCATCATCAGCAGCAGCAGCATCAGCAGCAGCATCATCCTCATCATCAGCAGCAGCACCAACATCAGCATCAGCATCGGCATCATCATGAGCATCATCAGCAGCAGCATCATCATCAGGAGCAGCATCAGCATCAGTATCAGCATTAGCATCAGCATCAGCATCATCATCTTCATCAGCAGCAGCATCATCAGCATCAGCAGCATCATCATCATCAACATCATCATCATCAGCATCATCAGCATCACCATCATCAGCATCACCATCATCATCAACATCAGCATCAGCATCATCATCATCATCGGCAGCATCATCTACATCATCATCAACATCATCATCAGCGTCAGCATCATCATCAGCAGCAGCAGCATCATCATCATCATCAGCATCAGCATCATCAACAGCATCATTATCAGCAGCAGCAGCATCAGCATTATCATCCTCATCATCATCATCATCATCATCATCATCATCAACAGCAGCAGCATCATCATCGTCATCAGCAGCATCATCATCATAATCTTCTTCCCCTCCTCCTCCTCCTCCACCACCACCACCACCACGACATCGTCCTACAGCTAACCCACCTCCTCCTCCGCCTTCTCATCATCTTCCAACCCAATGCCCTGCCGCTCTCTGAGCCCTGCCCGCCGCTATCTGGTCCAGGGACTTGCGGTACCTCCGGCGGGTGAAAGAGTGACGCATGAGCCGAGCGGCCGTCTGCCGATGGGGAGGACCTAAGGTACCTAGCTTGGCGCCGCGCAGATTTCGAGGTGCGGTTATCTTTACTCCTCGAAGAACAGCACCGGAATTCCTGAAGGAGCTAATAGAGCGGACCAGCCTGAGCGCGAGCGGGGAGAGGCAGTGGGCAGCGTGCCTTCCAAAATCGACTAGGGAGAGGGAGGAGGAGGAGGAGGAGGAGGAGGAGGAGGAGGAGGAGGAGTAGGAGGAGGAGGAGGAGGAGGAGGAGGGGGAGGAGGATGATGAGGAGGAGAACCAGAGTAAACACAAGACGCATCAACGATGTTATAATATCCCCTCCCTCCAAGTTCCCACTTAACAAGACCCTACATGAATCTGTGATCATTGCGGGAAATTGCCCATGGGAGGACAACCGTCTGAGAATCCTCAATCGTGCCAAAACACGTATCCTGGGACTTCAGCGTCGCGAATCAACGTGACTGTTGGGTCCTGGCAATCCTAAGCGGAACACCGTTCCTGGGACTTCGACACCGCGAATCAACGTGACTGTTGCGTCATTCCTGGAACTTCGACCATGCGAATCCTTGAAACTGCTGCAAGCTTTCAAAACGATTGTGCGCGGCGCTAGAGCGAGAGCCCCATGTTGAAAAAGGCCGCCCTTCATCTTTGAACCCGCTGCAACAAACTTGCAATACGAATTTGCGCGGCGATAACGCGAGAGACACATGAGGAAAACCGCCCGCCCTCCATCCGTGAGATAGTTGCAAGTTTCAAGCTCCGGGATCAGAAATAGCGAGGGGGTCTCAGGCTCAACGCCCAGCCCGCCCGGTCGACACGTCTGCAGGTGCGACAAGGAGGAGCTACTCATAAGGGAAAGGCATGAAGCAGAAGGAGGAGGAGGAGGAGAAGGAGGAGGGGGAGGAGGAGGGGGAGGAGGAGGGAGGAGGAAGAGGAGGAGGATCAGTGCAAACAAGGAGTCATCAAAAATGTTGCAATCAACCCTCCCTCCAAGGAAGAAAGAATGGGATGTGGGAGGCAGGAGGGTGGAGCACAGCTGCAAGGCCTGTCGAGCAAGCGTAGCCCAAAGCCGGCCGCAGCTAGGTGGCCAGACTCCCCGCCCGCCCCGATGCTCTTCGCGATCCCGCGCGCGCCATCCCCCTGGAGAACAACGCCTCTGCTGTCGAACGAACGAACACGAACACATACACACAGATACATGTGTATATATATATATATGGATGTACGCATGCATGCATACATACATACATACAAACATACATACATACATACATACATACATACATACATACATACATACATACGTACATACATACATACATACATACATGCATACATACATACATACATACATACATACATACATACATACATTACATACACTACATACATACACTATTACATGCATACAAACCTATACATACATACATACATGCATACATATATACATACATGCATACATACATACGTACATACGTACATCATACATACATATATATATACACATACATACATACGTACATGCATGCATGCACGCATGCATGCATGCATACATACATACATGCATGCATACATACATACATACAAACATACATGCATACATGCGTACGTACGTACATACATACATACACACACATACACATGCACATACACATGCACGTACATACACGCATATGCATGCATACCTACATGCATGCAAACATGCATACATACATTCATACACACGTACATCCATACAGGCTACATACATACATACACACATACATACACACATACATACATACATACAGACAGACATACATACGTACGTACGCACGTACGTACATGCACACATATATACGTGTATGCATACGTACATGCATGCATGCTTGCATACATACATGCATGAATACATACATGCGGGGGGACGTAGGGGGTTATGGGTGCGTGTTGTCGGATGAGGGTCAACGCTCGAGCGGGAGCCTCACCCGGGATCCAAGCCGCACCCATACCCATAGCCAGTCCTCCTCCCTCCTGCTCCCCTATGAATATGGGTGTGGGTTGTTCGTTCGCCATCTCCGGCTCAGACTGCGCATCGTCAGCCGCACTGTTCTCGCGCCCCCACGGGCGAAAGCAGAGCACAGAGCTGGATGGTGACACTGGACCAGAAAACAAACGACACCACCCCACCTATGGCCCCACGGGGATTAGCGTATACCAGGAGATCTGGCGCGGACTTTTGCGTGGTATACGCTGCGGCCCCAGATGGGCCATTGGGCCATAGCGCAACATGGAGGACCGTAGGTGGGTTGGTGTCGCTTTCTGGTCGAAACACGGGAGGCTTAGGCTGGAAGCGCATCTGCAGTGTGCAAGTCGATGACGGCTGGACCAGCCGCGGCACAGGAGCCAGGTCCCGAGGGGCCGTGGTGCCGCGGCGCCGCCCGGGACTCTGGTTAGAGTGGCGCCTACTCTCCAGCACGCGTTTCGAACCAGACCGAAATTTCAGGATGCCCGGACGCCGAGCCCGCATTTCGAGCCCTCGGCACCCCAAGACCCTAAGAAGCCTCCACGAAGCTCCAAGAGGCCCCCAATGGGTCCCATGAACCGCCCAACAGGGCACCAAGAAGCCCCGAAAAGGCGCAAGAGCAACACACCACAACCGCCAGTTCCCCAAGGGGTCGGCGGTGTTGCCTGAGCCCGAGAATCTTCAGGATGCCTGGACGCCGTCAAAAGAACGGGTCCGGAAGTGACGTGTTGCCGGAGGCAGGTCCGCGGCGGATGCTGTAATGAAACGTATCCAATGTACCCAATAACTGCACGATTGTAACGTTTCCCATTATAAGATAATTGGTACATATTGTATTGCGTTACATTATTATGTCTCCCCCCTAACTCCCCCCCTGGAGCCGCGCCACAGCGCCGTACCGAAGGTGAAAATCCTCATTCTGGGGCTCAAAAACTTACAAAAACCAATTAACAAAAAAAACAACAGATTCGGCCTCTTGGGCCTCTTGGGACTCCAAGGGGGCCTCAAGACGGCCTAAGACGGCCCCAAGACGGCCCAAGACGGCCCCAAGACGGCCCAAGATGGCCCCCGGAGGGCCCATGAGGCCCCCAGAACGGCCCCAGAGGGCACCAAGAGGACCCCCAAGAGCGCCTCCAGATGCCAAAATCCAAGTTTTTCCATATGTTTTTGCAGGATTTTAGCGTTCTCGTCTTTTTAGATCCGTATATAGATATCCATGACGGCCAAAGCAGCATCCAAAATGGTCCCAAGACGGCCCCAGAGGCCCCCAAGAGGCCCCAAGACGGCCCAAAAGAGCCCCAAGACGGCCCGAAGAGGCCCCCAGGACGGTCCAAGAGGCTCCCAAGACGGCCCAAGGGCCCAAGAGGACCCCATGAGAGCGGCCCACAGGATGGCCTCGAAGGAGCCAAACGGCGCAAGAGCGCCGCAAGACGGCCCAAGACGCCCCCAAGAGGCCCCAAGAGGCCCCGAAGAAGCCCTCAAGAAGCCCCAAGAAGCCCACAAGCGGCCTCCAAGAGGCCTTAAAAAGCTTCCACCAGGCCCCACAACTTCTGGACTGCACGTGCTCCGGACGTGCACCCCAAGACCCGTCTCCTTGATGCCGAACCCCGGCCCAAGGCCCGAGAGGCGAGAGACGCGCCCAAGAGCCTCGATGCTCGAACCTCCAGGACCCCTCTCCTTCAAGGTCACTCCGACGCCCTGAGCTGCTCGACCACTGCGCTTCGGAGCTCAGCCATCTCGCAGCGCAGCCGACAGCGGCCGCCTCAGGGCCACCGGCGGCGCTCAGCCTCGAAGACGCGCGCGCTCGAGCCGCCGCCGCCACAGCACGGCGCACGCCCGCCGCACGAGAGTCCTCGCGCTCGGGCGGCCCCGGAGCACTTGGCGTTGATGACCGCAAGCATCTCCTGGAGCACCTCGCCGCGAAGGGGGAGGGCAGAGCGAGGCGTGCGGCCGGGCCAGGGGCAGGCGCGCCCCCTCCACGGCGGGCGTCGTGGCCCTCCACAGCGGGCGTCGGCCGAGGAGGAGCTGCCCGCGGCCACGCGAAAGAGCGGCGCGCCGCGGCGGCCATCATCATCATCATCATCATCATCATCATCATCATCATCATCATCATCATCATCATCATCATCATCATCATCATCATCATCATCATCATCATAATCGTCATCATCATCATCATCATCATCATCATCATCAGCAGCAGCAGCAGCAGCATCCTCATAGTCATAATCAGAATCGTCATCAGCAGCTGCAGCATCAACATCAGCATCAACATCAGCATCATCATCATCATCATCATCATCATCATCACCATCATCAGTACGATCATCAGCATCATCAGCATCATCATCAGCATCAGCATCGTCATCCTCATCGTCATCATTATCATCAGCAGCAGCATCATCATCAGCAGCATCATCATCAGCATCATCGTCAGCATCATCATCATGATCAGCATCATAATCATCAGGAGCAGCAGCATCATCAACATCATCATCGTCATCATCATCATCAGCATCATCATCGTCATCATCATCATCAACACCAGCATCAGCATCAGCATCAGCAGCAGCAGAATCAGCATCACTATCAGCATCAGCAGTATCATCAGCATCATCATCCTCAGTATCATCAGCCTCATCATCATCATCATCATCATCATCATCATCATCATCATCAGACTCAGCATAATAATCCCCATGATCATCATCATCATCATCGTCATCATCGTCGTCATCATCAGCATCGTCATCATCGTCATCATCATCAGCATCATGATCATCATCAGCATCAGCATCAGCATCATCATCAGCATCATCAGCATCATCATCATCATCAGCCTCATCCTCATCCTCCTCATCCTCATCCTCATCCTCATCCTCCTCATCCTCCTCGTCCTCATCCTCCTGCTCCTGCTCCTGCTCCTCCATTTCCTCCTCCTCCTCCTCCTCCTCCTCCTCCTCCTCCTCCTCCTCCTCCCTCGTTCCAGGGTCGCTCCACTCATGCGTCGATGCTGCGACGAACGTCCGTCGACTTGAGTCGAACTTGAGTCAAACTAGAATCCAACAGATGCGTTAGGTGGGCCCCAAAGCTCCCCCGAGAAGAGCATCTAAGAAAGGGGGCGTGGGGGGAGGGCCCAGGGGCGTCCGCTGCACGTCAAACCAGTCGCAGATGTTGTTCCCTAGTATCGGGGCGGCACTGACACTCGGCCCGACGACAGCCCACGCACTGTGTGTGTGCCCACCGCGGCTCCTAGCTCGAACCACTCCCAGTCAGAACGCAGCTCGTCGCACAGCCACAGCGAGCGTGGTTCCACGAGGAACGGCTGAAGCAGGAGCGAGGCGCCCCTGCGGCCCCACGAGGAGGGCCTGGGCACACGAGGAGCGCCGGAGGACCCTCGAAGGTCAGGATGCGGGGCGCACGCTGAGGGCACCCAGACGCCGCCGCCGTGCCTGCCCCAGGGCCGTCCTCGGCCCCGGCATGCCCTGCCAGTGCTGGCCGAGGCCAGGGGCGTGTGCGCGCCGCCCTGGGGGCCCAGGCTGGCCCTGGCAGGGCACGGTGGTGGCGGTGGTGGCCAGGCGCCGTCCGCGGAAGGGCACCCGGAGCGCGCCGAGGTGCCAGGGGGCCCCTGGGAGGAGGAGGCAGGAAGCGCGCAGAGGCCGCCTGGAATCGAGAGGTACACGGGCGCCTTTCTGCGGAGGCTTTGGGTGGCAGCACTGCGCTGAAGCAACGTCGGCGATTCCTGTGGGATGCCATGCGAAACACTGAGCGATGATCCCTCGGATACGCTAGTCACTCCCCTCAGAACCTTCTCTCGCGCCCAAGTCAGAACAGCGCCGTAGCCCCCGCAGATGACACCCTTGTCCGCGCGCGCCTCCAAAAGGCAGGACGCCATTCGACCAGGTTTTCAGGTCAAGGTCAGCCGTGGCAAAGACGAGTGGGGAGGGTGACGACGACCACCACCACGAGCGCGAAAAGGTTTCCTGGAATGAAGATAACGAGAGTGGGGGAGAGAGAGAGAGAGAAAGAGAAAGAGAGAAACAGAGAGAAAAAAAAGGAGAGAGAGAGAGAGAGGGAGAGGCAGAGAGAGAGGGCAAGGGAGAGGGAAAGGATAAGAGAGAGAGGAAGAGAAGGGCAAGAGGGCGAGAGCGAAAGCGAGAGAGCGAGAGAGCGAGAGAGAGCGAGAGAGAGCGAGAGCCAGAGGCGAGAGAGAGCGAGAGGGAGAGCGAGAGAAAGCGAGAGGGAGAGTCAGAGGGAGAGGGAGAGGGAAAGACGAGGGACGACAAGCGAAAGGGTAGGGTGCGAGAGCTGGAGGAGGAGAGGGGAGGACGGAGAGGAGAACCTGGGAAGACACGGAGGGAGGGACCGAGGAGAGCCGAGGAGGCCCAGGAGGAGGGGAAGGACGACGGCTGCGGCGGCGGCGGCGAGGACGACGAGGACGAGAACGTGGAGGAGTGCGGGGGGGGGGCGGAGCCCCAGAGGCCTCCGGAGCTGCCCGGACGGACGGCTGAGGCGTCGGCCTCCCGAGCTGCGGGCCTCGAGGCGGCCTCCAAAGAGGCCCCCGGGAGGGAGGCCGAGACACCGCGACCCTCGAGCCTCCCCCCCCCCCCCTCGGCGTGAGTCCTGCAGTCAACCCGTATAAGAAGGACGCACGATGAGGATGCAGGGGCCTTGGAAGGCCATGTCGACACTCTGCGAACGGGGCGCGGCCAGCGAAAGCAGCCAAAGACGGGCCGAAGGGGAAGGATGCGAGGGTAGCCTTGGAAAGTCGCTCATCCTTACTATGCGGGTTGAGGTTGACTGTATGGCAGCCGAGCTCACGAGAGCAAAAGGCTCAAGCTCTCGCCCAAGGGCAAGCTGAGCGGAGTGGTCTGGCCTGTCGTTCAGGGCACGTCTTTGCCGCTTCGCGATCGGTCGACTCCATATTCCGTTCCACGCCACTTCGGATCCACTCCCCGAATCAATCCTCGATCCTCGGTTCTCGATCACCGATCATCGATCCACTCCTCGATCCACTCATCGATCCTCGGTCCACTCATCGATCCTCGGATCTCGATCCACTCCTCGATCCTCGATCCTCTGGATCTCGAGCCCCGATCCTCGGATCCCGATCCTCGAAATCCTCGAGCCCCATGCCCTCCCAGGGCAGCGAAGCCTCCAGCGTCGAGGTGTCGAGGGCGGACACGCAGCTGTTGAAATACAGCAGGGTGAAGGGTTCCCCCTGCAGCAGCTCGCACTCCTGGCGCGCGCGGCCGCAGGGCGGGGGGGGGGCAGGGAAGCGCGCGCGGTGCGTGGAGCTCTCGGTGGCCGTCTTGGGGCCCTCCTGGGCAATCTTGGGGTCCTCTTGGGAGCCCCCTGGCCCATCTTGGGCGATCTGGGCCCGAAGCGGGCAAATGAATGCATGGTGCCTCCGCAGGCCGTCTTCGGGGAAGGGAGCTGGGAGAGGAGCGGGAGGCCGAGGGCGGGGCGAAAGCGAAGATGAAGGGCTCCCCTTGCAAAGCTCGCACTCCTGCGCGGGCGGCCGCAAGGGGGAGGGGAGGGGAGGGAGCTGAGGGAGGGGAAAGAGAGAGAGAGAGAGAAGAATGAGGAGAAGGGGAGGGATGAAGGGAAGGAGGAGGACGAGGAACAGTAGCAATCAAAGGACGACGACGACGACGACCACGACGACGACGACGACGATGACGACGACGAGCAGGAGGACGATCACAAGGAGGATTCGCGCTTGGGCCCTGTTTTCTACAGCTCTTCCCATCCATTCTACAAAGCTGCTGTATGGCAGCCACGCTTGCTGAGTAGATTAACTTCACTGCTCCTCATTTGGCTCAACGTGCCTACGCGACTCTCCCCACGACGGAACAAAGCCCACATGTAGGAAGAGGAGAAGATGAGGGGAGAGGAGATGAGATGAGATAAGATGAGAGGAGAGGAGAGAAGTGGAGAGAGGAGTGGACAGGACAGGAGAGGAGACCAGAGGGGGCCACGACGACGAGCAGGCAGGAGGGAGGACAACAACAACGAGCAGGATTAGGAAGTGGGCAGCAGGCCAAGGGGAGGAACGAAGACCTCCCCAAGATCCCTCCCGAGGTCCATCCTGGCCCTTGCCTGCTTCTCTGGGCCGCGTCCGGCCGTGGCGACGACGAGGGGGGGGGGGGGGGCCGAAAACCAGCAAACGACGACGACGACGACGACGACGGCGGCGACGACGACGACGACGACGAGCAGCGCCGAGCACAGCGCCACTTTTTGCTGGGCGCCGACCGCGGGCGCGGGCGCTGCGGCGTCGAAGCCCGAGCGCCGCACGGCGCGCCCGACTCGAGGGGGGGGGGCAGCAGCGGGCGGGCGGGAGGGCGGGAGCGGGTGGGAGCGGGCGGAAGCGGGAACGGGAGGGAGCCCGTGGGGGGGGGGGCGGGCAGCTCGAGGACGCAGCCGCCGAGGAGGAGGGGGAAGACCATGCTGTTGCGGCGCGGGAGGTCGGTGCTTCTCCATCTCCGCTTCCTTGCTTACTTCCTTTCTTCCTCCACTCTCCACCCTCCACCCTCTACCCTCCACCCTCCACCAATACCATTGCCGCTACTCCAACCCCTTCAGGACAGGAAGGGAGGCGGGAGGGGAGCGCGCAGCAAGGTAAGCGCCGCTCACGTCCTGGGCCGCTTGGCCGCGGCTGGCGGCCTCTGGGGAGGGAGGCACCACAAGGGGATCGCTATCCAGGGGTCACTACACCGACTATACCAAGCCTCGTACGACATGTTGTTCGTCCTCGTTGGGCCCTCGTTTTGCATCAGCAGCGCCCCGCGTCACTCAATCCTTCCAACTCCCACTCCTCCCTCCTCGTCGTCAACGTCATCAACACCATCGTCATGAGCGCTACCAGCATCATCGACATCGTCAGCATTTTCACTGATATCATGATCGTCTTCATTATCAGAACATCAGCATCATCAGCGTCCGCATCATCAGCAAACATCAGCAGCAGCACCAGCACCAGCAACAACACCATCATCAGCATCAGCATCAGCATCATCAGCAACGTCAACACCATCATCAGCATCATCATCATCATCATCATCATCATCATCGTCATCATCATAATCAGCATCATCAGCATCATCATCATCAGTTCTCATCATCAACCATACATCATCATCATCATCATCATCATCATCATCATCATCATCATCATCATCATCATCATCATCATCATCATCATCGTCATCGTCATCGTCATCGTCATCGTCATCAGCATCATCTTCATCATCATCATCATCATCATCATCAGCAGCATCATCAGATTCGTCATCAGCATCGCCATGATAATCAGAATGATCGACATGACCATCGTCCTCCTCATTCTCATCATCATCAGAATCATCATCATAATAATCAGCAGCAACATCATCGTCATCATGATCATCATCATCGTCATCGTCATCGTGATCATCATCTTCATCATCATCAGCGTCAGAATCGCCACCGTCACCACCACCACTATCATCCGCACCCTCATCATCATCATCATCATCATCATCGTCATCAGCATCATCAGCATCATCATCAGCATCACCATCGTTATTTGCACCATCATTATCACCACCATCATCATCAGAATGGCCCTCATAATCGCAACCGTCGCCAACACCACTACAATCGCATCATCATCATCAGCATCATCAGTTTCACCATCATACTCGGCATCTTCCACATCAGCATCATCATCAGCGAAATCATCAGATTCATCGTCATCAGCTTCATCATCTCAGCATCATCCGCATCATCATCATCATCATCATCATCATCAGCAGCAGCAGCATCATCATCAAAATCATCATCATCAGCATCGTCAGCATCATCAGCATCAACATCAGCATCAGGATCCCAATCATATCATCATCATCGTCATCAACAGCATCAAGATCATCATCATTATCATCGACGTCATCGTCACTATCACTATCACCATCACCAGCACCAGAATCAGCAGCATCATCATCAGCAGCATCGTCATCATCGTCAACAGCCTCAGCATCATCAGCATCATCATCAGCCGCAGCATCATCATCAGCATCATCAGCATCATCATAATCATCGTCATCGTCATTATCATCGTCGACATCGGCATCAGCATCGTGGCATCATCATCATCATCATCATCATCATCATCACCATCATCAGCATCAGCATTATCACCATCATCATGATTGTCATGCGCATCATCATCATCAGCAGCAGCAGCATCACCATCATCATCATCATCATCATCATCATCATCATCATCACCATCAGCAACATCATCATCAGCATCGTCGTCATCATCATCATCAGCATCAGCGTCAGCATACCATTCCTCCCTCCTTCTCCAGATCATCCTGCTCATCCTTCTATTCCTCCTCCTCATCATCGTCATCATCATCACCAGCATCATCATCAGCATCATCAGCAGAATCATCATCATCATCATCATCACCGTCGTCATGAACATCATCACAAGCAGCAACCGCGACATCGTCATCATCGTAATCCACAGCGTCGGTATCATCGACATCATCATAAGCATCGTCGTCATCTTGAGCAGCATCGTCATCGTCATCAGCATCAGCATCAACATCATAGTCGTCCACCACATCTTGACCATCATCCGCATCATCTTCAGCATCGTCGTCATCACCAGCAGCATCATCATCATCATAATCATAATCAGCATCATCATCATCATCATCATCATCATCATCATCATCATCATCATCATCGCCATCATCTACAACAACATCAGCAGCACCATCAGCATCAAGAATCTCAACAGCATCAGCATCACCATCAACATCAGCATCATCATTAGCAGCCTGGTCAGCATCATCAAAATCCCCGTCATCATCATCAGCAGTCATCACCGCCATCGTCATCAGCATCATCATCATCAGCAGCAGCAGCACCAGCAGCAGTAGAATCAGCATCCGAATCATCAGCAACATCAGCATTATCAGCATCATGATCAGCAGCATCAGCATCATCAGCATCAGAATCATGGTCATGACCATCATCATCATCATCATCATCAGCATCATCATCATCATCATCACCATCACCATCATCATCATCATCATCATCATCATCATCATCATCAGCATCGGCATCATCGGCATCATCATCACCATCACCATCACCAGCACCAGCATCAGCATCATAATCAGCAGCAGCAGCAGCATCGTCATCATCATCATCAGCCTCATCATCATCAGAGCGCGTTTCTTTATGTTCGGCGATGACGGACGTCATGGGGGGGGGGGCGAGGGGGTATGACGTGACGCCCCCTCCGCCGTGTGGCTCCGGCACCGCAGCCGCGCCCGCGCGCGCGACGCGACGAGCGACGAGCGACGAGCGACGACGACGACGACGACGACGACGACGACAACCACGACGGCGACGATCACGACGACGACGACGACGACGTCGACGACGCGAGCAGCATGTAGGTGGCGAAATGTCCCACTGCGCCTGTGTACACCACAACGCTCGCGTGCACCACAGCGCGCGTGTATACCACAGCGCCTGCGTACACCGCAACAACCGTGTGCAACGCAGCGCCTGTGTACACCACAATGCTTGCGTACACTACAGCGCCGGCGTACAATTGCACACCGCAGCTACCATGTGCAACACAGCGCCTGTGTACACCACAATGCACGCGTGCACCGCAGCGCCTGTGCACGCCACAACGCGCGTCTACACCACAGCATCCGCGTGCAACGAAGCGCTGGTGTACACCACAGTGCCTGCGTGCATAGGACAGGTGGAAAGAGCATGAACGTGAGGATCTGCTGCGGACAACCAGACGCCACGCCAGGAAATTGCTGATAATCGAATGCGACGTTTTTCCCTCCTCCCTCCTCCTCCTCCACCTCCACTTCCTCCTCCTTCTCCTCTTCCTCCTCCTCCTCCTTCCTACCCCCTGTTGTGTGGGTTGGCGCTACAGCGCACGTGCGCATCTCAGCGCGCACCGCAGAATGGTCTATTGAATCGGTCCACTTGGTTCTCGGACGGCCAATTTAGCTGGAACTTCCTGGACGCAAAGGGAGGAAAGAGGGGGATGCGGGCGGACTCGAAAGGACACGTAGGTTCCACCGACGCTCCGTTGCCCATGAGGATTATTATTATTATCATTATATATTATGTGGAATCCACAAGCGCTCCATTTTGTCATAAGGATTCGTCATCACATTCTATCTACAACAATGGTGCTGTGTT